CGCCGAGTAGAGCGGGGCCGCAGAGTAGGGCGGCGGGGCCGCTGAGACGGGCGGCGGGGCCGCAGTGCAGGGCGACGGGGCCGCCGAGACGGGCGGGGCCGCAGCGACGGGCGACGGGGCCGCTGAGACGGGCGGCGGGGCCGTAGTGCAGGGCGACGGGGCCGCTGCGACGGGCGGCGGGGCCGTAGCGCGGGGCGACGGGGCCCGCGAAGAAGGGCGGCGGGGCCGCAGAGACGGGCGACAGGGCCGCACTGAAGGGCGGCGGGGCCGACTCGACGGGCGGCAGAGCCGCTAGGGCGTAGGAGCCGCTAGGGCGGCTCGACGAGGTAAGAGCCCGGAGCGCGACTCGGGCGGAGCGCGCTTCGGGCAGGAAAAAAAAAAGAGAAATCGATGTGGTGGGCCCTAGGCACAGTTCCCACGGGGGAACCTGCTCGATACCATGAGGGAATGAGAACGAGAATGATACACTAAGGAATGGAAGTGATACAAATATGCAACCCTAGAACTGTGTACCCCATATGGGCTACCCCACTATAGCCTACAGAATATTATAGTTTGACACCTTGAACCTATCCGACCTATCTCTTGGCAATCGAGCTGTCAGAACATTATAGCTTATACATTTGTGTAGGTTGTAGTGGGGTAGCCCATAAGGGGTACAACCCAATTAGGGTTTGTACTTGTACCCAACTGTTTCATAGTTCATTCATCCATTCTCATTTCTCGTCATGGTATCGAGCAGGTTCCCGAGTGGGAATGCTGCCTGGGGCCCACCACAATTTTTTTTCCCCTGCCCGGAGCGCGCTTCACTCCTACCCGAGTAGCGCTTCGAGTGCCTTACCTACCCTCGAGTCGCCCTTAGTGGCCGCCCTTACGGCCCCTCGCGCCGCCTTCTCTAGCCCCTTACGGCCCCGCTTAGGCCCCTTACGGCCCCGTCGCGGCCTCGCCTAGGCCCCTCCGCGGCCCCGTCTGGCCCCTTACGGCCCCGCCTAGGCCCCTTACGGCCCCGTCGCGGCCTCGCCTTGGCCCTTCCACGGCCCCGTCTGGCCCCTTACGGCCCCGCTTAGGCCCCTTACGGCCTCGTCGCGGCCTCGCCTAGGCCCCTCCGCGGCCCCGTCTGGCCCCTTACAACCCCTTACGGCCCCGCCTAGTACCCTCCGCGGCCCCGTCTGGCCCCTTACGGCCCCGCCTAGGCCCCTTACGGACCCTTCGCGGCCTCGCCTAGGCCCCTCTGCGGCCCCGTTTGGCCCCTTACGGCCCCGCCTAGGCCCCTTACGGCCCCTTGCGGCCCCTTACGGCCCCTTGCGGCCCCTCCTAGGCCCCTCCGCGGCCCTGTTTGGCCCCTTACGGCCCCGCCTAGGCCTCTTCCGGCCCCGCCTAGGCTCCTTACGGCCCCTCTGCGGCCCCGCCTAGGCCCCGCTGCGGCCTAGTCTGGCCCCTTTACGACACCGTTTCGGCCCCTCTGCGGCCCTGTCACCACCTGCGGCCCCGCCGCCACCTGTGGCCCCGCCGTCACCCGCGACGCCGCCGCCGGGCAGCACAGCAGCCAAGCAGCCCAGCAGCCGAGCCGCCTAGCAACCGAGCCGCCGTGCCGCCGAGCCGCCCAGAAGCCGAGCTGCCCTGCCGCCGAGCCGCCCAGCAGCCGAGCCGCCCAGCAGCCGAGCCGCCCTGCAACCGAGTCGCCCTGCCGCCGAGCCGCCCTGCAGCCGAGCCGCCCTGCCGCCGAGCCGCCGAGCCGCCCTACTGTCTAGCAGCTGCTGTTCCTACCTGTGCTACCCGGCCCCTCCTTCCTCGGACTGGTGAGCTCACTTCCTCCTAGGTCACTACAGTCATGGCTACCCCCAGTGTCCTCACTTTTGATGCTGAGGGCCGTGCCGTTGACTTTGAGGTCTGGGTCGATGACCTCCAGCTGTTTCTTCAGTGCGATAGGGCAGACGGCCTCTCCCTGTTTGACCTCACTTCTAGTGCCTCTCCTGCCCCTGCTGCTGATGCTGATGCCACTGTTCGCTCACAGTGGGCCACGCGCGATGCTGCTGCTCGCCTTGCTGTGCGCCGCCACTTACCGACCACTGAGCATGCACACTTTAGCCCGTACAAGAGTGCTCAGACCTTGTACGACGCTGTAGTTGCGCGCTACTCTTCCCCTGCCACTACTGCACTGAGCCGCCTCATGCTACCATACCTCTTCCCTGACCTTGCTGCCTTTCCCACAGTCGCTGACCTCATTACGCACCTCCGCACTAGTGACACTCGCTACCGCGCTGCGCTTCCTGCTGAGTTCTGTGCCAAGAACCCCCCCCCCCCATGTACATCACCCTCTACTACATAGTCACCCGGCTCCCTGACTCTCTCCGCGTAGTCAGGGACCACTTCCTCTCAGTTTGCCCCACCACTCTCACCGTTGACCTCCTCGGGAAGGCCCTCCTAGCGATAGAGAAGAGCATAGTCACTGTAGGAGCCTCTCGTGGTGACCCCCGCACCCCCGTCTTTGAGGGGTGTTCTCCCTCCCCCCTCTTGCTCTCTGTTGCCTCTGCTGCTGCGGCCGACCTTGTTGGTTTCGAGTCGGTCGGCGTTGCGTCTGCCCCGAGCGGGAGACGCCGCACCGGCAAGGGCAAGGGGGGCAAGGGCGCTGGAGGGGCTGGAGGGGGCGGTGGAGGTGGTGGTGGAGGCAGTGGAGGGAGTGGGGGTGGTGGTGGGAGTGGTGCCGGGGGTGGCGGCGGCGGCGGCAGCAGTGGAGGCGGCGGAGGCGGTGGCAAGAATTAATTGCTCTCTCATCAGCTGAAGCAGAATATATTGCACTCTGCTCAGCCACCAAAGAAGGACTCTATCTTCGCGAGCTGCTGGAAGAAGCGAAGTTAGCCGAGTTACCCAAGTTTACCCTGTTCTGCGACAACCAGTCGGCAATTCGCATCGCCAACAAGAACGGCTTCTCGAACAGGACGAAACACATCGCCCTGCGATATTTCTTCGTGAAGGATGAGATCGAGAAGGGAAGGCTCGAGCTGTCATACTGTCCCACGCCCGAGATGGCAGCTGACTACCTGACCAAGAAGCTCGGAAAGCTAATGTTCGAATACTTCATGCTGCTGACTGGACAGAGCCACGTCAGCGACACTCCAGAAGCGAAGGGGAGTGTTGGAAACAATCGGTCCTAAGCGCCTCTATCGTGTCGAAACACTAAGGCACAAGCGAAGCAAAGCATACCGGTATCGAGGCACCAGCGAGTCAACCCTCAGAGGTTGAAGTAACTGCTGGAGGTTACGCGAAAGTCAAAGGTCAGCGACCTTTGACCTGACAAATACAGCGCGGCAGCAAGGACACACAACTGACTCGTTACAGAGCAGTTGCCCGAGTCGTCACTGTATCGAACCGCAACAGCAACAGTAAAGTAGTTATAATTGTGTCTCTTCATATTCCCTGTATTCATATATATAATCTTGTATCTCTTTGCTTTAATCAACTTACTTTGCCTTCACATACTAGCGCAAGGTGGTTCACAACTCTTTATTAACGCTTCCGCTACTACACCAACTCTACCCAGAGTTCACCTCTGCAAAGATCCTAAGGGCTTTTTCAGCCCAACAGGAACTCGCAGAAGCAAGAGCTGGTTGCCCTGTCATCAACGGAAGCCGAGTTCATCGCAACAACAGCAGTTGTTCGCGAAGGCCTCTACCTTCAGAAGCTGCTGCAGGAGGCGAAAATCCCTAACTCAGCAAACTTTCGCCTTTACTGCGACAACCAGAGCGCGATCAGAATTGCGAACAAGCCAGGATTCGTCAACCGCACCAAACACATCGCGCTGCGGTACTTCTTCGTCAAAGACGAAGTTGACAAAGGCAAGGTTGACCTAACCTACTGCCCAACGGTTGACATGGCAGCAGACTTCTTCACGAAGAAACTGCCACGCCAGCAGTCCCAGCACTGCTAAGAAATCAGCGGAGTAGTCAAGCGGGTCTAGACTCGCTACGGCCAGGAGTGAAGGGGGGTGTTACGAATAGTGATCACCTGAAGCACTACTGTACACTCCTCTCCGCAGCAACCGAAGCACAGACTACCGAGAATGAAGATGAAAGGGCGCAAGTGACACGAAGAGTCACACGGTTATGAAGAGCATCTGGACCGTCGGGCAGACAGCATCAAGCAGCAGCAGTGACGAGGATTCTGCCCGAAATGTTGCGCAACCACTCGGAGTCGCACGGTTGGATTTCACTGCAATAAGGGAATGTACCCCTTAGAGTATATGGCTACTTAGGACGCTTCGAATTCCCTTGTACTCTTATTTATATTTCTTGCACTGCATGTTTTTATTATCTCAAGCATTTACATTCACTCTGCTATTTGAGATCAAGGGCCCACCACCACTAGACTAGAACTGTGCGAACCTTCATGAGGTAATCCTGAGGGCGATCATTTTCTGATCGCAGCACCCTACAATATCAGTAAATTTTCCCTGAAATTCCTGATTTTCAGCCTACTTTTGTGTACCTACCCTGATTTTTCAGTGTCTAGATTTTTGTGAGACTGATTTTTCGGCCTTCATTTCATAGTTAACACTGAGTTTTCAGGCTTTAATCGAAGTGTACACTGAATGCACATTCCTATACCTTACTGGAAAACGCCGAGATGACCACCTTCAAACAAAAGTAGTACAATTAAAATAAAGTTTGATTGACAACAGCTTCGTGGTCCCTTTCAATATTCGCTGTCGAACGGTAAGGTCCGAGGTTTGATTCCATGGGCTGGCCTAATTTTGGTAAGACTGATTATACAGTGGATTTCGTGTTGGAAAAAATCAGGGTTGTTTTCTGAAAAACCCTGGAAAATCAGGGATTTTTTTTTAGGAACACTGAAAATCAGCCTTTCTTCTCACCGGGACCCTGATGCATCAACGTCCCTAAAAGTGAATCTGAGGGCCTGTTTACAACTCCTGACAGGTTCAGTGATACCGTAAAACCAAGGGAAAGGAAACTAATTGCTTATGTCCACTTTGCCGCCACATGTCATTCAAAGAGAGGACTGCCAGTGCCATACTGTGTGGAGGTCTCTTCCTCCTCGTCGTCCCCATCGCCTCCCTGCGAGCAATGATATGAGAGACAAGTGTTAGCCATGCACTGTGTGGTTGATGACCATCCAGCCAGCAACACAAGAAATAGACAATGATGGTGTGGTGTGCAATAGCAGTGGGATCTGTGCGGCATGAGTAGTACCGTGCAATAATGGATGGTATGGAACAGCACAGCATGGAGTGTGATGTGGGTATGTCATGACTTATCATCCCATGGCATGTCATGATAAGTCAAGGATCACCTTTAGAAGTCGGTCGATGCGATTGAGCCCTCTCTTGGCGTTTTCATTGGTCGGATTGATGCTGACATGGCAGTTTGTGCAGGGGCAAAGAGGTGCATGCAAAAGGCAGCACACTCTCATTGAGATAATGGTTGTGCGCAGGCACAAGACTTAGCATACTGGTGGGTGAATGCATGCGGATCTAGCATGTTTCAAGCCGGCGTGCTGACATGTGGCGTGCTGACATGTAGCGTGCTGACATGTGGCGTGTTGACATGTGGCGTGCTGACATGTGGCGTGCTGACATGTAGCGTGCTGACATGTGGCGTGCTGACATGTGGCGTGCTGACATGTAGCGTGCTGACATGTGGCGTGTTGACATGTGGCGTGCTGACATGTGGCGTGCTGACATGTAGCATGCTGACATGTGGCGTGCTGACATGTGGCGTGCTGACATGTAGCGTGCTGGAATGCTGGCATGCATACAAGCAGAGTACTAACCGGGGGGAGGAAACTGGAAATGGAATACTGGGCAAGAGATGCCATGGCATGTCATGGGATGTCATGGCATGTCATGGGATGTGTCATGTTTGATCATATGGGACAAAAAATGCCACGTCATCATCACCTGAGGGCCGTCTGCAGATGGTGCAGAGCGTCGGGCAGCCGGTTGGCCGCCATGTGGACAAACCCCAGCTTCACGTGGATCCAGTCAGCAGCGTCCACTGCCAGGTGGCGCTCCAGCCTGGTGGTGCACACATGCATGGAGAGGAAGAGGGAGAGGGAGAGGGAGAGGGAGAGGGAGAGGGAGAGGGAGAGGGAGAGGGAGAGGGAGAGGGAGAGGGAGAGGAAGAGGGAGAGGGAGAGGGAGAGGGAGAGGGAGAGGGAGAGGAAGAGGGAGAGGGAGAGGGAGAGGGAGAGGAAGAGGGAGAGGGAGAGGGAGAGGGAGAGGGAGAGGGAGAGGGGGGTGGCCTATTGCAGAGTAAGGAAGGATTCGAACCGCCTCTGGCTGTTACTGGGCGCCTCGTATCCTGCACGCACTGCAGCCCGGTGGTATGGAAGGGGGAGGGAAAGGGAAAGGGGTGTGTGAGAGGAAAGGCAAGTCCACACAGGAAAGCACTCACTCGTCCACCACAGCAGCACTGTACTACCTACCACCACTCAATGCTCTGCTGCACCAATTACGATTTCCCTCATGATTCTCCGAGGAACTGCATGCAGAGGAGACAAAATTCATGACACCGTGCTGCCACTCACACGTCAACGGCAGCAGCGTGCCGCCCGTCCGTCCATGCTGTGCTGCTGCCCATACTGTGCCTTACAACAATTCATCAGGAGAGATTTCGAAACGCTCACAGGTGTTCACAGGGGTTCGCAGGACTACTCATCCGCCCGTCCGTCCATGCTGTGCTGCTGCCCGTGCTGTGCCTTACAACAATTCATCAGGAGAAGTTCCCAGGCGTTCGCAGGGGTTCACAAGGGTTTACAGGGGTTTTCAGGATTACCCAGCCACTCACACGTCCACGGCAGCAGCATGGCGGCCGTCCATGCTGTGAGCGTCTGCCAGGCCCATGCTGTGCCTTTCGGGGGTTCATATGCGTTCACAGGGGTCCACAGGGGTCCACAGTGGTCCACAGGGGTCCACAGGGGTCCACAGGGGTCCACAGCGGTCCACAGGGGTCCACAGGGGTCCACAGGGGTCCAAAGGGGTCCACAGGGGTCCACAGGGGTCCACAGGGATCCACAGGGGTCCACAGGGGTCCACAGGACCAGCCACTCACACGTCCACGGCAGCAGCATGCCGCCCGTCCATGCTGTGAGCGTCTGCCAGGCCCATGCTGTGCCTTTTGGGGGTTCATATGCGTTCACAGGGGTCCACAGGGGTCCACAGAGGTCCACAGGGGTCCACAGGGGTCCACAGAGGTCCACAGGGGTCCACAGGACCAGCCACTCACACGTCAACGGCAGCAGAATGCCGCCCGTCCATGCTGTGAGCGTCTGCCAGGCCCGTGACAGCAGCACCACAGCGCCCGTCCATCCTCAGTGCCGCCTCAAACACCTTGCGCGCCTGATGTGTGCATGTGTGTGTGCGTGTGTGTGTGCGTGGGCGTGCACGTGCGTGTGTGTGTGAGGGAAAGACGGGAGGTACATGAGGTTATTAGCTCATTCCGTGACAGCAGCGCCACAGCGCCCGTCCATTCTCAGTGCCGCCTCAAACACCTTGCGCGCCTGGTGTGTGCGCGTGTGTGTGCGCGTGTGTGTGCGCGTGTGTGTGCGCATGTGTGTGCGCGCGCATGCACGCGTGTGTGTGTGAGGGAAAGACGGGAGGTACATGAGGTTATTAGCTCATCCCGTGACAGCAGCGCCACAGCGCCCGTCCATCCTCAGTGCCGCCTCAAACACCTTGCGTGCCTGCAACAACAAGGGGGGGGGATTAACAGGGGGGGGGGGGAACAACAGGGAAGCAACTGGTGTGAAAGTGGCAGCACCACAGCGCCCGTCCATCCTCAGTGCCGCCTCAAACACCTTGCGCGCCAGCATGCAGTGGTGTATGTGTGTGTTGAGGGGAGAGGGAGCGAAGGGGGTGGGGAGATGAGGGCAGGTACAAGAGGGCATCAGCTGATCCCGTGACAGCAGCACCACAGCTGCCGTCCAGTCCATCCTCAGTGCCGCCTCAAACACCTTGCGCGCCTGTAGTGGTGCAGGGGGGGAAGGTGGGTGGAAGAGACGAAACAAGGGGCTACAAGGGGGAAGGAGCAGCAGGAACAGATGCCGCCACAGCGGCCGTCCATCCTCAGAACCGCCTCAAACACCTTGCGCACCTGCACTGTGTGTGTGCGTGTGCGGGTGTGAGTGGAAGTGGGAACGGTGTGTATGTGTGTGTGCACGCGCGCGTGCGCGCGTGCAAGTGGAGGGAGAGAAGGGAAGGAGGAATTTGCACAAGGCATAAATGACCACATGACATGGCATAAAAAGGACCGTGATACACATCGTGTGACTGAGGGTTGATACACTCAACGCTCCTTCATCAGTGCTGCCTCCGTGTCAAATCTCACAGCACTCGAAAGGGACCGTAGAGTCAACAAGAAAAAAAGATTTGAAGGGCGTGGTTACGTTACCTTGTCCCTGCTGTCGCCGTGCTGCAGATACACCTCCCCCAGAAGAGACAACGCGCTGGCAGAGTTGGGAAACGCCTTGACTGCCTCCCGAGCCGCTGCTATGGCCTCCTTCAGCTTCGGAATCCGCAGGTAGGCTCGGACCAGACCTGGATGGGAGGTCCGGGGTCCAGCAGGCAGAAAAGGATCGTCAGGCTCAGATCGGGCCGAAGTTGACAGGAGCTGACAGGAGTTGAGAGAGGGAGTTGGTGGAACATAGCCCACCCCGAAAAAAATTTCCCCCAACTACGCCCACAAAATGCCTCTCCCGTATCCACCTTGCAACAGGGCACGTCCTGCTATTGCGTGTACGCCCTCCAGAAAATAGCTGCTGCTTTTGAAGCACCTTCAACATTTTTCCCCACCACAACCAACCCCCCAACCCACACCTTACCCACCTTGGAACATCCGCAGGTCCTGCTTCTTTTCTGTGTTGATGCCTTCCAAAAATGGCTGCTGTCTGGGTGTAGGCCCCATTCATCTCCTCCCCTACTCCCCGCCGACCCACCACACTTTCCCCCTCTGTACCCACCTTGGAACACCCGCAGGTCCTGCTTCTGCGTGCAAGCTCTCCAAAAAATGGCTGCTGCTTTTGTGTAGGCCTCCTTTTCACCTTCTTCCCCCACACAGCCCCCCTCCCACCCCCCTCCCCTCACCTTGGAACACCCGCAGGTCCTGCTTCTGTGTGTAAGCTCTCCTTTCACCTCCTCCTCCTCGCCCACACATACCCAACGCCACCCGCCCTTCTTCCCGCCACACCCCTCCCCCTCACATTGGAACACCCGCAGGTCCTGCTTCTGTGTGTAAGCTCTCCGAGAAATGGCTGCTGCTGCTGAGGCGCCTCATAACCTTCCCCATCCTCCCCTCCCCCAATGCTACCCCCTCACCTTGGAACACCCGGAGGTCCTGCTTCTGTGTGTAGGCCCTCCGGAAGATGGCAGCTGCTGCAGACGCCACTGCTGCTGATTCCGCCCGCTCGGTTTGCAGCAGAATGGCGCCCTGGTGGGGGTTCGGGGGAGGGAGGGAAAGGTGGGGTGGAGAGGTGTGGAGAGGGGTGGAGTGGGGTGGAGTGGGGTGGAGAAGGGTGGGGTGGATCTGAACGAATGCCTGAGGGGAGTGCTTGGCTTTGGAGCCACTGCTGCTAGCTCTGACTGCTCTGCTTGTAGAAGGATGGCGCCCTGATGGGCGATGGGAGTGGGGGTGGGGGAACGGGGGGAAGAAGAGGGGGAAAGCAGAGGGAGGGGGGTGCGTCTAAGCGCTCTGCTTGCAGCAGAATAGCGCTGATGGGGGATTGGGGTGGCGGAACAGGGGGAAGCAGGAGGGGAACGCAGAGGGGGATACGTAAAAACGCCACTGCTGCTGACTCTGACCTCTCCGCCTGCAGCGGAATGGCACACTGATGGGGATCGAAGGTGGTGCGGCCGTGGGGGGGAATGGGGGTTGGGTGGGGTGACGCGACTGCTTGAAATCTGAGCCACTGCTGCTGAAGCTGAGCTCTCTGCTTGCAGCAGAATAGCGCTCTGATGGGGGATGGGGTTGGGGGAAAGGGGGGAAGCAGGGGGGAAAATCAGACGGGGGTACGTCTCAAAACGCCACTGCTGCTGACAGTGACCGCTCGGTTTGTAGCTGATATTTTTGAGTTTCAAAAAAATACCTGCAATGGCACCCTGTTGGGGAATCGTGGGGGGAAGAAGGGAAGGAGGGAGGAAGGGGAACGGTGGGACGTCTCAAAACGCCACTGCTGCTGACAGTGACCGCTCTGCCTGCAGCGGAATGGTACACTGGCGGGGATTGCAGGTGGTGGGGGCGTGGGGGAAACGGGGGTTGGTGTCACCAAATATAATGGTAAGAGCATCATATTGGAGACATATGCTAATTGGGTGTAGAAGTGGTGTAGCGAGTGTTATTCAATCTGCATGTGGGGTAGTTGGGTTATAGAGAGTAGCGAGAAGTTGGTAGCATTGGGGGTTACAGGGCGCTTCGGGAACAATTTCAGGAACCTCGGGAGACAGGCAATCTGGCGAGGGCCACTCCAAGGCCTAGGCGGCTCGAGCTCAACCCAGCACGCTGAGTTACTCGCGACTGGGCAGCCAAGCACAAATAGCCTAGCCTAGCATAGCAAACCTGTTCTCTTGTCTTGTTTGCCTCATATAGTGGATAACGTTACCGCAACAAGGCTACGCTAGCTAGGTGACTACGCCACTGTGGGCAGCCATCGTGTGGGAGAGTAAACTTCTCACAAGACGAGAGAAGCAGATAGGCAGTATGGACTGCCATGAGCTGCGGTGGCAGCGGACGTACTCGCGGCGGGAGATACCGCCGTCCCGAAGGATGCGCTCAAAGGAGCGGGGAAGATCGCCAGGTCGCTCGCCTAGCAGAGAGGCGGATCGGGCAGATTGGATGGCGACCAGTGACGGACTGCACGGTGAAGGCGAGCTGGGTCTGCAGATGAGATGGGCGCCAGGACCCCAGCCGTCGAAGAGTGATCCCTGGGATCTGGCAAGAGGAGCGATCCCTGGGATCTGGCAAGAGGCCAGCGGGGCGCGGGAGTAAGGCGTCAGGAGGATGCCGATGAGACGGACTCGCTGATGTTGGCAAAGGAGGCCGACGGCGAGGAGTTGGCGGAGGATGATCCCATGGACGAGGAAGAAGATCACTCGCCGGGCGACATGCGCAAGGCAGGCGAGAGGCGTCGTGGAGAAAAACGTGAAGAACGCGGAGAGGCGACGGGATTAAATCGCTCGACAGACGAAGTGTGTGGGAGTGGCGCAAGGCGACGCGGGAGTGCGGAGGCAGATGGCGCGACCGACGAAATGGGTGGGGGCGGCGCGAAACGCCAGGGGAACCGCGCGGATGCAGAGCGCGCGCCAGAGGAGGTGCGCGGGAAGGAAGCGAGGCGCAGCAGGAGCAAAGCAGCTGAGCCCTGGTCAAGGGAGCGAGGGGAGGAGGAGAAGAGGCATGCTGCACCAGCAGGAGTGTATCGTTCGCCCGAGCCAGGACAAGGCCGTGCGGGCAGGAGGCGTATGGCGATGGGAGAAGGGAGATCGCTGGAATGGTCAGAGGAGGAGGAGGATGAGGATTACGAAGGAAAGCGCGTTCAGCACTCGCCAGCAAGGAGGCGGCGGCCAGCGGAGAAGGCGCGAGGCAGGGGTAGCATACGATCGCCACCCAGCGCCTCAAGGGAACAGGCGGGAGCGCGCCGTGAGAAAGCAGAAGAACACCTGTGGGCAGAGAGAAGGGCTGCAAAGGAAACAAGCGAAGAAGCAAGAAGGTGGCCCGAGAGAGAGAGCCGTGAGAGGAGGGGCGAAGGAGAGCGATACCAAGGGGGTGAAGAGGCAGGAAGAAAAGGGGAAACGGGGAAACGGGATCAGGAACGCCGAGGCTGGGAAGAGTGTGGAGATTATGAGGAAAGAGAAAGAAGGTTTCCTCCGGGGATCTCCTTAAAGCCCGAAAAAAAAAAAAAAAAAAAAAAAAAAAAAAAAAAAAAAAAAAAAAAAAAAAAAAAAAGAGGAAAGAGACAGGTCGGACTCACCGGAAAGAGACAGGTCGGACTCACCGGAAAGAGACAGGTCGGACTCACCGGAAAGAGACAGGTCGGACTCACCGGAAAGAGACAGGTCGGACTCACCGGAAAGAGACAGGTCGGACTCACCGGAAAGAGACAGGTCGGACTCACCGGAAAGAGGAAGGGAGTGGAGGCGCGAGGAGGACTGGCGAGGCAAGAGAGAAGGTGTGCGGACACCAGAAGTCTCGAGGGCAGCAGAGAAGGAGCGACAGCGAGAGGACAGAGTGCGGCAGTACCAGGAGCGGTCCCCTGCAACGGGAGAGAAGCGTCGGGAAGATGCAGAGAGGCGCAGGGGGGAGCGAGAAGATGCACGAGGGAGGAGCCCTAGCCCGATGGGCCCGAGGAGGCCGGGGCGTCACGGCGTAGGATCTGCTGGAGCAAGATCAGCTAGGGAGGGAATAGAGCGAGTGCTGTATGGAACCAGCACGGGCAGCAGGGGAGAAAGGGAAAGGAGGAGAGGGGTTATGATGTCTGAGCAAGGAGGGACGGAGAGCTGGGAAACAGGGAAGTGGGGGGCAACAGCACAGCCGCGAGTGGAGGTGCCAGTACGCTTCACGGGAAACGAGAAAACCGGCCCAAGTCTGAAGAACTATTTGATGCAGATCAGCAATGTTAAATACCGATGTGACAGAAGCGGGATGGACCTGATTGAGTTTTTTCTGAGCCTGCCAAGCACGTTGGGAGGGGAAGCAGAGACTTTGTATCGCATGAAGATGGGTGAATGGCTGTGGAGGGCAGAAGAGGATGACGAGGACCCGACGGTACTGTTCCTGGAGCGACTAAGGAAGCAGTTCCCTGGGCATACGGCAGCGCGCATCAGGGAATTCCAGGAGTTTAGGCGGAGGGACGAGGAGTCACTGCTGACATACTACGGACGGTTAATGAACCTGGCGGAAGACGTGGTGTGCACGGACAGCAGCATGATCATTAGCAAGTCTCTGAATGGTTTAGACAAGGGATTGGCAGGAGGGTTGAGAATGAGAGTCTATGAGCTAGGAGCAGATGCAACACCAGAGGAGGTATTCGAGTTAGCGGAAAGGGTGGAGCTGGCGCAGAGGAAGTATGAGGTATACCTGCCGAGGACGATAGAGAAGAAGAGTCCTACCTGGGCAGCGGCAATGATACCAGGGCAGGCGGAACAAAAGGGTCAGCAGAGGAGATTGAGAGCCAGATAAGGCAGTTGCGGGCGCAGCTGCAGGCCCTGGGAGGGAGTAAGGAGAAAGAGGCTGGGCTGTACGCGAGGGAAGTAGGAGCAGAAGAGGAGGAAGGGCAGGAGCCAGAGTACACATGCCTGGCGTTACGTAGCCGTGAGGGACTGGGGCTGCGCAGTGGGGGCAGAGACGGAAGGAAAGGGCGGGAGCTGAGAGGAAGGACAGAGAGGCAGGCGGGGTTGTATGCAAGTGAGGAAGAAGAGAAGGAGGAAGGGGAGCAGGAGCCAGAATATTCCTGTGCGGTGCTGTGTCGCAGTGACGCATGGGGCTGCGCAGTGGGGGCAGGGACAGAGGAAAGGAGCGAGCCACGAAGGTGAGGGCATGGGCAGTGGCAGAAGGGGAACAGAAGGACGAGAAAGAGGAGGCGGAAGTGTGTGAATTAGTAGCAGCAGACAATGAAGGTAAGGATGAGAAGGTGAGGGCATGGGCAGCAGCAGAAGGGGAAGAGAAGGACGAGAAGGTGAGGGCATGGGCAGTGGCAGAAGGGGAAGAGAAGGGCGAGGAGAAGGAGGCAGGAGTGTGCGAATTAGTAGCAGCAGACACTGAAGGGAAGGATGAGAAGGTGAGGAAATGGGCAGCAACAGAAGGGGAAGGGAAGAATGAGAGAGAGGGGACCTGGGCGTGCGTACCAGTAGCAGCGGAAGCAGAGGAGAAGGACGAGCAGGTGGGGGCAGGAGTGGGTGTAATGGCAGCAGTAGAAGTAGAGGAGAGGGACGAAGAGGCGGGGGCAAGGGCGTGTGTACCAGCAGCAGAAGAAGCGGAAGGGAAGGGCGAGAAGGAGGGAGCGGTGAAGAAAGGAGGGAAGACGGGGCTGAGCAGTACAGACATGGGAGGGAATGGTTGGCAGCCATCGCTGAAGACAGCAGAGTTGTTCGGGGAAATCGGGGCAGGGGCGAAGACTGGTGTGACGATGAAGGATTGGATGCAAGCGCAGGGAAACAAGCTGGCGGAGCGGTATGTGAGGAAGCTGCGGGGAGGAAGGCCAGAGCTGCTGGGGGAAGCAGAGCGGGAGAGTAAGGAAGTGGGGGCATGGGAGCCCCTAGCAACAGGGGAAAAGGTAGACCACACAATGGAAGAGGCGGAGAACCGGGCGGCATGGGAGCGAGCTAAGGCAGCGGAATTCTTGCAGGAGGTGATACAGGTGGCGGTGGACGACCTACATACCGTGCAGTTGAGGGATGCGTGCTGCTGTGAGAAGTGGCAGCAGCAGGAAGGCAAGGGGATAAAGGCGGCTATAGAGGTGGGACGGGAAGAGAGGGGCAAAGAAGGATACACTAGCTGTGGAATAGGGAAGAGCGAAGGGGAGGGCGCAAGCAGTGCGAGGCGTGGGAGTGCTAGTGTTGGAGAAGAAGAAGGGAGAACAGACCGGGGACCACCAGACCCGCACGGCAGGACTGAAGAGCAGCCGTCCTCAGCTGAGAGTCCTGTGACTCGCGCCCCAGCAGCTCGAGCACGAGCACAGGAGGGGGCAGGTAGTGGCTGAGAACGCAGAAGGGAACAGGGTAACAGGAGTGGGGACAGCACAAGGTGGGGAAAGGCGAGAATAAGAAGGAAGGGAAGAAGGTGAGGACAGAAGGCAGGGAAGAAGGTGAGGACACAAGGCAGGGAAGAAGGTGAGGACACAAGGCAGGGAAGAAGGTGAGGACACAAGGCAGGGACGAGGCAGGGGCGAGGGAGGAGTGAGGAAGGAGAAGGGAAGAACTCCGACATTGGGGTGACGCGAATGCTTGATATTTGAGCCTCTGCTGCTGACTGTGACCTCTTCGCCTGCAGCACAATGGCGCCCTGATGGGGGGTTCGGGGGAAGGGGGGGAAGCAGGCGGGGGGGAAGGCAGAGGGGGGGTATGTCTTGAAACCTCCCTGCTGCTGACAGTGACCGCTCTGCCTGCAGCACAATGGCGTCCTGATGGGGACGGAGGGGGGAGGAGAGAGGACGAAGGAGGGACGGATGCATTGAAAAGTCTGAAGAACCAACAAGTGCACATGGCATGAAGAGAGAGGGAGTTGGCTTTTGAGAATTCTCAAAAGGGACGGATGCATTGAAGAAGTCTGAAAACCAGCAAGTGCACATGGCATGGAGAGAGAGGGAGTTGGCGTTGTGTGTAGCGTGGCAGTTCATATCAAAATAACGCGGCGATGAAAGGATGAGAAGGTGAGGGGGAGAGAGGGATTGTAAGGTGGGAAGGGGGAGGAGGGAGGGGAGAGTGGGGAGGGAGAGGAGGGTGGGGAGGGTGGGGAGGGTGGGAAGGTTGGGGAGGGTGGGGGGGTGGGGAGGTTGGGGAGGGAGGGAAGGGTGGGGAGGGTGGCGTAGGCGCACCTTAGCGAGGAGAGCTGGGAAGTGATGGTCGTCCAGTTGAAGCGCCTGGGGGTGGACGTGGGGAGGGAGAGGGCAGGAGAGGAGGGAGGGAGAGGGCGGGAGGAGTGGCAGGTAAGAGGATAAGATGGGCGCATAGAGCAGAATGGGGGAAATGGGCGCATAGAGCAGAATGGGGGAAATGGGCGCATAGAGCAGAATGGGGGAAATGGGCGCATAGAGCAGAATGGGGGAAATGGGCGCATAGAGCAGAATGGGGGAAATGGGCGCATAGAGCAGAATGGGGGAAATGGGCGCATAGAGCAGAATGGGGGAAATGGGCGCATAGAGCAGAATGGGGGAAATGGGCGCATAGAGCAGAATGGGGGAAATGGGTGCATAGAGCAGAATGGGGGAAAGCTGGAAAGTGGTGGTCGTCCCATCGAAGAGCCTGGGGGTGGACGGGTGGGGGGACGAAGGTAGGTGAGGGGCATGAGGGGGCGAGGAGGAGCGTGAGAGAGATGAGAGTGTGACAAAGATGGGATCATGAAACACAGCCGCCACGTCCTCATACATACGCCACGTCCTCATACATACGCCACGTCCTCATACATACGCCACGTCCTCATACATACGCCACGTCCTCATACAGCCGCCCAGGATACTCATAAATACCTTATCCACATATGCCAGTGCACTGCCTCTTTCCCCCCGGCTCATCCACAGTGCTGCCGCCACCACCCACGCCTCCACCCTCCCTGCCCTCCCTTCATCTATACAACCACCCACCCATTCACCCACCTTATCCACATATGCCAGTGCACTGCCTCTTTCCCCCCGGCTCATCCAAAGCGCGGCAGCCACCACCCATGCCTCCACTCTCCCCGCCCCCACTCCCACCATCTCCGCTGTCAGCCTCCTCAGCTCCGCCCCCCCCGCTCCCCCCGCCCCCCCCGCTGCTCCCCCTCCCCCCACGCTGGCGTCGACTTGCAGGTTGGGGAGGGAGAGGGCGGAGGAGGCGGAGGGGGAGCGGCGGGAGAGGAGGAGCAGAGCGTAGTCGTCCATGCAGGCCACGTTGAAAGGGTCTAGAGTGCGGGCCTGGGGGTTGGAGGGGAGTAGGGATGGAAGGTGGGATGAGAGATGAGTGGCAACAAGGAGAAGGAGACAAGTGACAGCAGCAGCAGAGCATAGTCGTCCATGCAGGCCGCTTTGAAAGGGTTTAGGGTGCGGGCCTGGGGGGGGGTTGGAGGGGGTAGAGATGAGAAGGTGGAATGAGATGAGCGAGCCACAGCACCACCGCCAGCAGCACCAGCGTCAGAAGGGCATAGTCGTCCATGCAGGCGACATTGGATGGGTATAGGGTGCGGGCCTGTGGGGGGAAGGGGGTAGGAATGATGAGAAGGTGGGATGAGATGAGCGGCAGCAGCAGCAGGGAGCAGCGGGAGAGGGAAAGCATAGTCGTCCATACAGGCCACGTTGAAAGGGGTCTAGGGTGCGTGCTTGTGGGGGAAGGAGCAAGAAGGGGGCTGCTATTGCTGCTGGTGGAATGGGAGGGAATGGCGATTGGGACAAGTGGCACAACAGCCAAGGAGAAATGTCAGAACATCGGACGGAATCAGTTGCAGGGAAAGATGCGAGCTGAAGGGAAACAGAAAGAAAAAAGCATTTTGTTCTGGGAGTGACTATAACGAGAGCACCTTTTGGTAGTGTAGCATGGCCTCCTCATTGCGACCCTGCGACGCCTCCACCTGATGGGAATGCGAGAAGCACAGCAGAGGGCATGGCACAGGGCACGACACAAGAATGCAACTCTTGCTTTTGGGCTGCAGGCTGCATGGCATGGCATGATACAGCAGTACGAACTGGGATGGGTTGGGGCTAAGTGAGTGGGCGAGTGTGAGTGGGCGAGTGTGAGTGGGCGAGTGTGAGTGCAGGTGCGGGTGCACGTTGCTGACAAATCGAATCGAGGCAGCATAGGAGGTCCCTCACTCACCTCCCTCACTCACCTGCCCATATGCATGTGCAGGGAGCTCAACTGAAGGTCACTCACGCACCTGCCCCATGTGCAAGTGCAGGTAGCTCAACTAAATGTTTTTCTCTCACCTACCCCATGTGCATGTGCAGGTCACTTCCTCACCTGCCCCATGTACAGGTGCAGATGCACGTTGCTGGGGAAGCGAGTCAACAGCTGCTGATACTCGTCCACACAGGCTGTGGTGCCATGGGGTGAGGGGCGGGGTGGGGAGGCAGAGATTATGGGCATGGGAGATCGTGACAGCGGTGACGGTGGGGGGGTTGACGGGTGAGGGGTATGAGATATTTCAACCAGCTACTACAGTGTGGCCGGCGGGAGAATTATGGACATCAAAGTTAAGATTGACCAGTGGGACACGCATGTTGATCCAGTAGCAGTGGGACTTGTATCCGTGACTTGGCGGAGAAAGGCTCTCAAAACAAACATGAATGAAAGAGTATGTCCTATGTGCAGTCAACTGCATAGTGTATGTACTGCTGTGTTCCTTACATTTATCATCTGCCTGCACGCATGTGTTACTAAGTTACTTGCTCCCTGTTCTCACCTGCGTTCTCATTGGCTGCTCGGTGTGCCTGTGCCTCCACATACTTCTGCTCACCCATGCATGCATACAGGCACACGCACACATACGAATGCATGCTCCCCCATGCATGCAATCATTCAGGCACCCATACCCATGCATGCAATCATTCAAGCACCCATACCCATGCATGCAATCATTCAAGCACCCATACCCATGCATGCACCCACGTGCATGCACGGAACGGATGCATGCACCCCCATACACGCACCCATACACGCACCCATACACGCACCCATACACGCACCCATACACGCACCCATACACGCACCCATACACGCACCCATACACGCACCCATACACGCACCCATACACGCACCCATACACGCACCCATACACGCACCCATACACGCACCCATACACGCACCCATACATCCACCCATGCACACACCCATACACAGAAGTAGGGGTTAGTATGCTACAGTCACCACCTTGTACAATCACTACCTGATAGACTCACTACCAGATATTGTGACTATCTGATACACTCACAATTATAATCACAACCTGCTACAGTCACTCTACCTAGGAAAGTCACTCTACCTGATACAATAAACACCTGATACATTCACTGCCACAAACAGTCAACAGGCATTACCTGATACAGTCACTACCTGCAGCCACTTGCAAGACTCGTGCACTTCTCCTGTTGCTCCGGCCTTGCTGCCCCCTCTGCTGCTGGGTGTGCAGGGGAGGGGCTGGGGGGAGGGATGTGGTGCGGAGGATGGAAAGGACGGGAAGAGCAGGGGGGGTTGGCGGGGGGATGGCGATAGCATGAAGTGGGAACGAGGTGCCTTGCTGCCCTGCCTCCTCTGCTGCTGGGCGTGCAGGGAAGGGGCTGTTGAAGAACGAGGTGGGGAGGATGGGGAGGATGGGAGGGTGGGGAGGGTGGAGAAGATGGGGAGGGCACGGAGAGAAGGGGAGGGTCGGGGGGACGAGTGCGGCTTGTACTTGGTGGGGTGCTAGAGACCCTCCTCCTAGTGGTGCGAGTGTGGTAACTTGTGAGCCAGCTCGAAACGAATCAACACTCAAGAGCAGGGTCCATAGGAACAAAGAACTGCTTTTTGAGAATTCTCAAGAAACACACTCAAGAGCACGGCCCAGAGGAACCAAGAAGAAGTAGAAATCTATAGGCCGAAAACGGTTACCGCCATTTTTCACAAATTGTTTTAAGAAAACAAAATACCAAAGTTAACTAGTACTAAGTCGCTGCCACGTAAAGATAATGGCTCCAACCTGGGGCTCCATCTGACGAATCAACACTCAAGAGCAGGGCAGAACCAAGAACTAGAAATCTGTTCTTCTGGTGAAATAGAATGAAGAATCACCTCCTGCTGCGGCAGCAGGGCGCACGTCACTTTGGCCGACAGCCCCAGCTGGTTTTGAGGTGCCTAAAAATGGACTTCTAGTGGTGCCAATTGCAGCTGCAGCGACACCAGACAAGGACTCACCTCCTGCTGTGGCAGCAGAGCGCATGTCTCTTTGGCTGACAGCCCCAGCTGTTTCAGAGGCGCCTCAGAAACTAGACTGCTTTTCCGGACAATGGCTCACCTCCTGCTGTGGCAGCAGGGCGCATGTCTCTTTGGCTGACAGCCCCAGCTGACCCACTGCTGTCACTGCCTCCATTGCGAATGGACACTGCCTGGTGGTGTAAAGGGGTGAAGAGGTGTGTGAAGGAGTGGTAAGGAGTGAGTGGTCGGCACAGAGGAGTGCGGCTTGCGGACAGCCTGAGCTGACCCCCTGCTGTCACTGCCTTCATGGCAAACGGACACTGCCTGGCGGTGTGGAAGGGTCAAGAGGAGTGTAGAGGAGTTATGGATGGTTTCTGTATCGCACAGATGAGTCTGGCTTTGTGGACAGCCCCACCTGCGCCACTGCTGTCACTGCCTTCATGGCAAACGGACACTGCCTGGCGGTGGGTTGGGGAGGGTCATGAGGAGCGCGGGGATGTGAAAGGGATGAAGGGTGTGGGATGCATGGGAGAGGAGGAACTAGCGGACACCTGAAGCAGCCGTGGTCACCTGAGGCACTGCAGGCACGGCACTGCAGTGGTCACCTAGTTTACTGGCAGCACCTGAGGCACTCCTTGTAAGCAGTGAGGGCAGCACGGTCGTAGCTGCTGGAGCGGTAGAGAGGCATGACTAGAGTGCAGCTAATTCACTGGCAGAAGCAACACGCACCTGAGGCATTCCTTGTATGCAGTGAGAGCAGCACGGTCGTAGCTGCTGGAACGATAGAGAGGCACGACTAGAGTGCAGCTAATTCACTGGCAGAAGCAACACGCACCTGAGGCATTCCTTGTATGCAGTGAGAGCAGCGCGGTCGTAGCTGCTGGAACGATAGAGAGGCACGACTAGAGTGCAGCTAATTCACTGGCAGAAGCAACACGCACCTGAGGCATTCCTTGTATGCAGTGAGAGCAGCACGGTCGTAGCTGCTGGAACGATAGAGAGGCACGACTAGAGTGCAGCTAATTCACTGGCAGAAGCAACACGCACCTGAGGCATTCCTTGTATGCAGTGAGAGCAGCACGGTCGTAGCTGCTGGAACGATAGAGAGGCACGACTAGAGTGCAGCTAATTCACTGGCAGAAGCAACACGCACCTGAGGCATTCCTTGTATGCAGTGAGAGCAGCACGGTCGTAGCTGCTGGAACGATAGAGAGGCACGACTAGAGTGCAGCTAATTCACTGGCAGAAGCAACACGCACCTGAGGCATTCCTTGTATGCAGTGAGAGCAGCACGGTCGTAGCTGCTGGAACGATAGAGAGGCACGACTAGAGTGCAGCTAATTCACTGGCAGAAGCAACACGCACCTGAGGCATTCCTTGTATGCAGTGAGAGCAGCACGGTCGTAGCTGCTGGAACGATAGAGAGGCACGACTAGAGTGCAGCTAATTCACTGGCAGAAGCAACACGCACCTGAGGCATTCCTTGTATGCAGTGAGAGCAGCACGGTCGTAGCTGCTGGAACGATAGAGAGGCATGACTAGAGTGCAGCTAATTCACTGGCAGAAGCAACACGCACCTGAGGCATTCCTTGTATGCAGTGAGAGCAGCACGGTCGTAGCTGCTGGAACGATAGAGGCGGGCGAGCAGCAGGTTGAGTCGCAGCGAGCGCAGGCGGTGAGGCACTGCCTCCAGCTGAGAGAGAGGGGAGGGGGAGGAGGGGGAAGAGGGGTGGGACGGGAGGAGGGTGAGAAGGAAGAGAGGGTGAAGAGGGGTGACGAGGGGTGACGAGGGTGTAGAGATGGGCGAGCAGCAGGTTGAGACACAGAACCGGCATGGGGCTTGGAAAGGTGGTGGTGGTTGGTTGGATTGACTTGTCCAATTGGATTGACTTGTCCAATTGGATTGACTTATTGACTTGTCTGACCTGATTGACCTAGTTGATTTAAATTCAACCGATCTAATTGACCTGATTGACCTGAATGGCCTGATTCTGAGCATTTGACCTCAGTGACCTGCTTGACTAGATTGACCATGGTCCGTAACACACCACTCCCTCACCTCTGTGAGGGCGGGCTTGACCTCCTTCAATGCCACGTAGCACTCTGCCACTCGCAGCCGCACCTGGCGGCATGTGTGGGGCACGGGTAGCATGTGTGGGGCACGTGTGGCATGTGTGGGGCACGTGTGGCATGTGTGGGGCACGTGTGGCATGTGTGGGGCACGTGTGGCATGTGTGGGGCACGTGTGGCATGTGTGGGTGAGATGGAGAGAGGGAGGGAGGACGGAAAGGCAATAGGGCACGTGCGCCACAGTGGGAGAGTGGAAAATGAGGAGTGGGAAAGCAGAGAGTAGGTGTTGAAAAGAGTGGACAGGAAGAGATTAAGCGGAGGTGGAGGGAGCAGAGGGGGAGAGGAGGGAGGCTGGAAAGGCAGTGGGAAAGGGAGTAGAAACAAACGTCTTGCTCACCTCTGCCTTCCCCACGTCTGTATCCAAGGCCACCATGCTCGCCCCTCCACCCCTTCTGCCCTTTTTTGTGACGTCTCAAAATTCCTTGCTCACCTGTGCCCTTCATTCAGCTTACCTCTGCCTTCCCCACGTCTGTATCCAAGGCCACCATGCTCGCCCCTCCACCCCCCATTCCGCCAACCACGCCCCCTCCCCCTCCCCCTGCTCCTCCCACACACGCTCCCCCTGAAACCATAGGCAAACACCCCATAGACATCCCCCCCCCAACTCCCACTCTCCCCCCTCCCCCACCCCCCCCAATCCCGCTCCCTCCCCCTGACTGCCCCAACCCCCCATACCGCCCCACTCCCCCTGATCCTCCCCCCGTTCCCCCTCCGCCCGCCCCCACCCCCCCTGCACTGTAGCCGCCTGACTGGGCGGGAGTCCCAAGGCCGGCGCTGGCTACAGTGCCTGCTACAGTGGCAGGGCTGCCGGGAACAGTCCGACTGCTGCCGCCCGCGTGGCCGGCCACCTTGCAGAGCTGCTGTGCCTGGCGGTAGAGGTTCTGAAAGAGGGACGGGGGGGGGGGGGGGGGGGGGGGGGGGAGTGGGGAAAGAGGGGGAGAGGAGAGGGGAAGGGGGAGAAGGGAGAGCTCGTCTCAGAAGTTGTCTGGTGGTATCGATTCTGAAAGGGAGGGGCCCCGCGAAAGGAAGCGGGGAGAAAGGTGGCTCGTCTCAGAAGTTGTCTGGTGGTATCTGTTCTGTGAGGGAGGGGAGGGAGGGGCGAGCTTTGAGGGATCTCAAATTCTGGGAGAGAGGCGAGAGAGGGCTTGGAGAGGGGAGGAGAGAGAGGGCAAGCGGAAAGAAAGGGGTGGGAGGAGGGCAGGGGGGAGAAGGGGGGCATAGCTAATGCGACAATGCGTTGCGGTGGCAAGGACTGTTTTGAGGCGCACACCCCGTCACGCTCTCTCTCTCTCCGCGCACCCACCAGCGCACTCTCTCTCTCTCCGCGCAACCACCAGCGCACCCTCTCTCTCTCTCTCTCTCCGCGCACCCACCAACGCACTCTCTCTCTCCGCGCAACCACCAGCGCACTCTCTCTCTCCGCGCACCCACCAGCGCACTCTCTCTCTCTCTCTCTCTCTCCGCGCACCCACCAGCGCGCGGCGGAACTCTTGCCGCCCGAAGAGCGCGTCCGCGTAGAGCACGAGATTCTCCGCCCTCGATATTGCCGGCACGTCGCTGCCCGGCCCAGCTGCAGAGACCAGGAAGCTTCCCTGAAAGAGCGTGGGACGGAAAGCACAGAGACTCGTCGGTGACCGGAGTGGGGAAAGGGTGGACCTGAAAGGGTTCGCAATATCGTATCGTATCGTATAGATGTGATCCTTGAGTGAGAGCATGTATGACGCGTCATTGCGCCTCGTATCCTACTCTAGAGTGCGTCAGTATGCAGTGACGGCCATTTAACCGTTACCTCGGAAAGCACTGTAGCTACTAGCCGTCGCAGCCACTCACGAGGATCTCAGCCGACTCGTACAGCCGCTGGTCGAGTAAATACGCGAGATTCTCCCGCATCGCGTCCATGGCGATACGCGGTACAGCGCGGTTGAGATAGAGTATTCGCAAGAGCTTTCGCGAGTGTTACACGAGCAAGAATTGAACTCCAAAAAAACGGGCAACCAGACGCGGCTCGTCGCTAGGTACCTCGCTGAAGTTCCCAGATTTGCCGCTCAAATTCGAAACGAGGCAGTGGCGGTGGGGATGGAGTGGAAGTGTGGCTTGTCAGGGAGCGAGCCGAGAACCTTGGGAATGTCAGAAACCGAAATCCAGGTTACCGACCCGACGAACGTCGCCACGGGAAACTAGATTCGGCTAGAGTGGTTACCCCACGAAATCTGTACAGGCTTATTGTACGCGTAGATGAGCTAATCGTTAAGAACCGTCAGTTCACCAACTAAACAAAATCTTCATACGAACTACCCATTGCATTCTCCCAAGTCACGAGCAATTCCTCTCTCCTTGACCCTACTGAAACGTTCTAGAATGTAACCATATCGTCCCGCCACGGACAGCACCGCATTGCATAAAATCTTGCGTAGCAGTGACACCCCGAATCCAGCTTCATGCTTGTTGGTGTGCACTGCTTCTGCATCTCTCACTAGCTCTCAGACCCCAACGAGCTCTCTCGTTTTTGTCCGTGCGTCTCCCAATATGTGCAGTAGTAGTTAGTTTCTAGTTCAGATTCAGGGATGAAATTAGCGGCGGCCATTGTCGTGTAGTCCTCTAGTAGTCCGTTTTCCGAACGCGTCATTCCCAGTAACTTTCCCTCGTCTACCCAGTGTTTCCTCTTTTCGCTTCCACGACTCTGTCCTCTCAATAGTCCGCGCACACCGGCTAACAGGTTACAATCAACAGTTAACAGCCGCCAGTTGACGGCTAATCGTCAGCCGTCAACGGTAACTGGTCCGCAGTGGTCAGCCGCCACAAATGTACCGGCGACCTCGCCTTCCGCTGGATCAAGTCGCGATTGCGATGCTGTGAGTTTTTCTCTTCTATATATTAAAGGGGAGCCTATATTCAGAGTAAATGTAGGTCCATGATGGATAATTCCACGCAGCAGAAGCCGCCTCCGTTCAGTCCTGTGGTCTCTAAAGTCCTTTTCCCCATCACCCCATCCCCATCCCTCTCTTCCCCATGTGCGCATGCCAGTGCTGGTCTCGTGCGCACAGTATGGGAATAAATCTGTGATTTGACTAAACAAATGACTTTGTATGCGAGTTGCAGCCAGCAGCTTTCCTTCCACAGTTTCCGTTTCAACCACCCAGCAGCTTCCGTTTCAATCATTCACTGGCCTGTTTGTTGCGTCTCGACCTACTTTCCCCATCCCTTAAATCTTCCCTTCCAACCCCCTCCATTTCGTCTCTCATTTCCCCCATTTCCGTTCCCCTTGCACTTTCCCCTGATCTTTTCTCAGCTTCCAGTACCCACTTTCCCCTTCTTCCTCACCCATTCCCACCTCTGCTTGACAGAGTGCGCATGGCTTGGGGCTACTTCCATTCCACCCCAGCACCCACTCAATACACGCTGAGAACCTCCCAATCTAACATCCACCTCTCCCTTCAGCTGCACAGGGTGGGAGTAGCATCGGGCTACTTCCTTTATAAGCACCTTCTTGTACAGCTGGCACCCAGCTCAATCTACTACCTCCCTCTCCCTTGTTTTCTGCAGGATGGGCGTGGCATCGGGCTACTTCCTCTTCAAGCAGCCTCTTGTATAGCTGGTACCCAGCTCAATCTACCACCCCCCTCGTCCTTATTTTCTGCAGGGTGGGTGTTGCATCGGGCTACTTCCTCTTCAAGCAGCCGCTGGACGAGTACTGGCGTGCTCAGGGCAGGCGAGAAGAGGGGGGTCCGGTTGGCGGAGGGGAAAAACAGGGACAAGGAGATGCTGACGTGGCAGAGAGTTGACGAAGCGTGTAAAGCTACAGCTGTGTGTGCTTATGATGGCCTCACAGATTTTGTTATGGTCTGAGATACATGTATATACTACGGTAGGTTCTCTTTTTCAACCTTATAGGTAAATTTCCTATTGTGCTGTGTGTGTGGCTTCTGGTCTGATAATGCCTGCCCTGCCCCTGCATCTATGGGTTTTGATATGCTGCTGAGTTGTTGCGAAAGATTGTACGGTGTTGTATGAGAGGGGCTCTTTTAAGGTAGAAATTGAATGTAGCCCACAGTTGTGCACCCAGTGTTAGAACAGGAAAGCAGTGAAGATTGAAAACGATTTTCCACTGTACAAAGAGAACAGATGTTATTATGTAGCGTATTATTCCTCTATCGTGCCTTGGTTGCATTTCACTGAATGTTTCGCGCCGTTAACACGGACTATTAAACGGTACATCTTACAGCGCAAGAAACCACGAACAGCCACGAGCCCAGCGCATTTGCCGCTGGGTCTAAGAGATTCAACCCATCCACACCGAAGTGCAATGCCTCCACATCCCGTTCAACCTCGGAGAAAAACTTGGAAATTATTCACTTCTCTCTGCTTTGTCAAACTCTCAACCAGTGACAGTGGCATGGGCATGCTCTATGTGTTACCTACCGCCATGGCTTTCATTTCTACCGCCTACTAGCCATATAATGTTTTTCAATAATCACAGTATTGCCTCGCTTTTGCATGTGCACCCTGGGGCTCCTTCCAGAATCGCCGAATTTTGCGATGGGGATTTCGGGAGCTACTAGTGACGGGCAAAACCGGGCTTTCCTGTGCGCGACATAGTTGTTGACGTGGCGACCATCCTGCTCAGCTCACTAGAGTTTTCCCGTGCGTCGCGATTATTTGAGGGCGCGCAGGACGCGCCTCCTCGCACAAAAGTACCTACTAGATCACGAAAATGCGCCGCGGCTCTTCCTGGATGCGATTACTTCTCGAGTGCTTCGCACGCGTACTTCTCGTTCACGCTTCGCGATTATGCGAGGCGCGCACGACGCTTCTCCAGTCTCGATGCCTTGTTAGTGCTTTGCTCACGCATTCCAGACTGTCGACGTAGTAGCTATAAAGAGGGTGTTTCGCGTCCCTACGATTCCATCCAGCTAGAATCCGCCTTCCTCGCTTCTGTAACAGCCAAGTTATACCTTCCTCTTCCGCTCTCAGCTTGCACCAGCCTCCACTCGCTCCCGAGTAATGGCTTTCACTCAGGCTCGCCGCGTCCTGATACTAGGTATGCAGCCTACTCCAAGTGATGATTAGTATGAATTCGAGTACCCCCACACCACGGCCTGTCAGTCAGTGTTCGCCTTTTCAAACTCATTGTTTGCAACATACGCAGCTGCTATAGCAATGATCCTGTGCGGATTGACACGATTTACGTCGCATGGTGGTAACATGATCGTCCGTTTTCGCCACGTGTGCTTTCCTGCAGCAGCTTTCCTCGCGGCGATGGTGGCGGTGGCTTTCGCAGGCGACGACGACAACAACAGAGGCGACAGCTGGAAACCTAGTCAGTGCTTCGCGCCTTCCCCACCAACTCCTCCTTCTCCACTTCCTTACCCGTTCGCATCTTTTAGATTCTCCACTTTCTCCACTTCATTGTACTCCCCACTGACTTCCTCTACCCTTCTCCCTCCCCCCTCCCCTCCCCCACCTCCTTGGTCTCCCCTTCTTTCACCCCCCTCCGTCTCCCCTTCTTTCACCCCCCTCGGTCGCACCTCCTCTCACCCCCTCTGTCTTCCCTCCTCTCACCCAACTCGGTCTTCCCTCCTCTCACCTTCGGTCTCCCCTCCTCTCACCCCCTCGGTCTCCCCTCCTCTCACCCCCTCGGTCTCCCCTCCTCTCACCCCCTCGGTCTCCCCTCCTCTCACCCCCTCGGTCTCCCCTCCTCTCACCCCCTCGGTCTCCCCTCCTCACCCCTTCGGTCTCCCCTCCTCACCCCTTCGGTCTCCCCTCCTCTCCCCTCCCCTCCCCTGAACAGAGAGCTTCACCTCCGCGCTGGTTGGGGCTAACGAGATTCCCAAGAATAACTCCGAAGCTGCCAGGAACGCCGTTGGGGACAAGCGCGGCACTGTGGATATGAAGCTGGACATTCATAAGTGAGTGCATATCCTACCACCTACATACATCGAGAGAGTATGCTGTATCTGTTGCAAGTGAGTCGTAGTCTTGATTCAGACAATCTCTTGAAAGTTCTGAATCTCAGTGAACGCCTTCGAATCTCAGTTTTATTATTATTATTCTTTTTTTACATCACCCATGATCAGGAGCAACGGGGAGCCCGTATTTGTGGCGTATTCGGTGAAAACGTAGAATTTGGAAGGCGAGATGCCGCCGACCATGACCCACGTGCACAACGGCAGGAAGGGGCGGAATGGAGCAAAGCTGCTGGACCTGCCGTGCACGTATCAGAAGAAGAGCAGCAGCGAGTGGGTCTGCCAGGGATCACTGGGTGAGCCCCTGAACGAGCGCACGCGTGCTCTGCTGTGGACACTCAAGAGGATCACGAAGCACCCGCATGAGTTTTACGGGAACATTCACACCAAGAAGTATCCCGATGGTGCCGTGCGCGGTCAGTTCAGGAAGGCCTAGGAGATCAGGTTGCATCGACCTCAAGTGGTTAACTTGAAAGACTTCAGTGGAGCAGAGGAGACAAACCAAGGGGGGAGAAGAGCTGATTTGGGTGAGCAGAGCTAAGAATAAAGCTCTTCCAAATCTTCCTAAGCCCTTGATGCTCTATATTTGGCGAGTTCCTTTTTTGCTTTGCATGTTCTATTTTACCGATAAATAAGTGCAGCACAAAAAATCCACACCAGGGCCTCAGATATCAGGAAAAAAACCCTGAAACTCCTGATTTTGGCAGTCGTTTTTTTACCTACACTGAAAAATCAGTGTTGGGATTTTTGTGGGACTGATCTTTTAGCCTTTTTTGTTAGGCCACACTGAAATTTCAGACTTTTTTTCCCAAGTACACTGATTCCACAACGTTGTAATGAAACTACCACTGAATGCAATTCTGACTTGTTCCGTGTGAATTTGCCCGCAATTACCGGGAATCTCAGATTCCTGCGGTGCCAGCACTCCATTGGGCAGTTTCGCTGCAGCATAAGCGTTGGCTAATCAGAATGTGGCAACCATGTGGTGCTGGAGGGCTGCGAGGGTTCCTGCACCGTTGACTGTGCTGGCGAGCTCTGATGGTCCCGTTCCCTCCAATCTAATCTCTCTTGTTTCTTTTCCTCCTGTTTCTCTCTCCCTCCCTCTCAGCCAGATTCCTCTCGTGCTTTCTCGTCTGCACTATTACATGGCGCCACCAGCACCAGAAACGGCGGGCTGTCTGGAATCGAACCCATCGCGAGCGCCGCCGAACCTCCTCTAGTCTCGCCGAACACATCGCTCCCGTTCGACGCGATCCGCAGCGCATGCGTCGTCGAATCGTAGCGGGCCTGCGAGATGCCCATCGGCGTCGCAGGCCCGCTACGACTCGACGACGCGTGGTTTTTCGTGCTAATGGCGACGACCGAAGGCTGCCTCGTCGCCAGCACGAACCGCGGTTGAAAGGCCATCTACGTCGCGGGCGGCGCGCATAGCGTCGTGCTGCGCGACGGCATGACCCGCGCATGACCCGCGCGCCCACCGTCCATTCCCCCGCTCCCTTTACCCCGCACTCCGTCCACTCCCTGTCTCCCCCGGTCGTTCCCCCCCCAACCATGCCAGTCTTCCCTCCTCTCTCCCTCCTGTGCTCTCTTTCCCTGCCTCACCCTGCCTGTCAATCAGGTTCCTCCCCCAAACCCTGCCCCTGCAGCTTCAACGTGTATGTGTCGCAAGCAGAAGTGAAGACGGGGTGTGTGCTGCAGCAGAGCACTGTCACGTACTGGTGTCCCAAGCTGAGGATGAGAGAGAAAAACCAAAGGCTAAGGGCAGTGATGATAGCACGGCTGGTGATGATTCATGAGGCATGTTAGCTTAGCAATGTTTCGGAAGGCCGCTACTGACCTATTAATTAAAATAGAGATTTCTAGCAATAACAGCCTTTTATATTATTGAACACTGATGCATCAGCCTTTTTTCAAAGGCAACACTGATATTTTAGGCTTTTTTTTTTAGGAACACTCTGAATCAGGGTTTCTACATAGGGGTACCCTGATGGGTCGACGACCCTAAAAGTGAATCTGAGGCCCTGATACACACTTCAACATTTAGGCAAAAAAACTGGCATTAGCATAACAAGGCGAAAATGTTGATGCTTAGTCATGCCTATATGAGTTTTTGTTATGAGTGCAATTGAGTGAACGAACGGGAATTGCACTATCGAAGCAAGAGTACAATGAGTGAAGGCATGAGCGAAGAATAAATAGCGAAACTACAGTGGTAACGGTAATGGACTGTGGTAGTCGCGCGACGGGCCTGGGTGGGACTGTGGTTGGGAAAAAGTGTCGAAGCGGAGGCCCGGAGCGCAGGTAACCCGCCGAGCCGTGAGGTCGGGGTGCGATGTGCGAAGGTGGCGGGCGGATTGTCGTTGCGAGGGTCGCGAGTGGTAACGGTGCTGACTGTGGTGCTATCGTATTACCCCGGATAAAAGCGCAGGTGCGCTTATAACAAAACAGTGTTTTTTTGGGGGGTGCGCTTCTAATTGAGGTGTCTGTATACGCGCATGCGCCTATAATAAGGAAAAAATGAGATTCACTTTTAAACATACTAAACTGAAGCCCGCAATAAGGCGAATCCAACGTGTGAAAGTTAGAAGAGAGAAGAGGGCTGCACTAGCAAGAATGGGGATACAAATAGCAAACCCTAGAAGGGTTGTACTCGCTATAGAGCACCCCACTACAGGCTAGAGCATAAGATAACATTCTGACACACCCCCATAGCCAAAGTGGGGTGTAATCAGCAGAGCAAGCAAAGCAGTACAAGCTCAGGGTGGATCACAATGTCACCACACATTCTGAGCACAAGTTCAAGAAGCAATAGTTTAAAGTTAACAATTATGAGCAAAGCTAGTGGTAGTCACAACGGGCAAGTGAGGAGGAGGAGAGAGAGTGAGAGGAGAGGAGATAGGAGGCGACGGCTGAAGCTGCAGACACACGGGCAACAGGAGGCACACTGGCACAGCGGCTACCGGAACAACGCTCCGGAATACTGGAGTAACTGGCCCCGCGGCTAAAGTAGCGGCCGACGAGCAACGGACCCACGGGCGGCTGGCACAGCTAGCTACGACTGGGCTACCGGACGAAGTCCCCGGAATACAGGTGCTGCTGGCGACACGACGGCAACCTCCATTCAGCTTCCCCAAACGATCCCACTCCCCCTGACACACACCCGCTGCTACACCCCTAGCTCCACTCTCACCCCACCCCCTAGCACCACTCCGTCGAATCCCACACACCCACCCCCCTCAGCGGTAGCTGCAGCAGTGGGAGACAGAGGAGGAGGAGGAGGAGCAGGGGAGACTACACACCCGCCACCCCCCAGGTCGCCCCTCCTCTCGCCCACACTTGGGCCTCTCGCCCTCCTCGTGCTCGTCCCTCGTCCCCTGTCACTGACCTCCGTACCGTGTTGTTTTGTCCTCGTCCTCCTCGTTCTCCTCCGTCTGTCCTTCCTCGTCCTCCTGAGTCTTCCCTCACTGCCTCCCTGTCCACTCCGGTCACTGACTACTACCGCACGTACCGCCCCACTCTCTCTCGTGTTCTCGCCTCTCTTGTTACAGACCCTCGTGCCTCTCCTTCCTCCGTCACGGTCCTCAGTGCCGGTGTCACTGACTTTACTGCTACGCGTCGCCTTGACTACGCCACTCGAGTTGTGGCAGCTCCTCCTGTCCGTCCTCTGTCCGCCGGGGGTGTGTGTGCCCTTGGCTGTGACGTCCTAGAGGACAGACAGTTTGAGCTAGAGTTCCTGGCAGCTGCTTCGCCTCATCTCTGTGCCATGCTGCTCACTCCTGAGGGAGACCCCGACGCTCCTGACATACCTACTCCTCGCACTTACGCTGAGGCAGTGTCAGGGCCTTGGGCCTCTCAGTGGAGAGCTGCCATGGACGCAGAGATGGCCTCCTACAGGTCCACAGGCACTTACGTTGACGAGGTTCCCCCCCCAGGGGCGAACATTGTTGACGGCATGTGGATCTTCAAGGTGAAGCGGCCGCCGGGATCTCCCCCAGTCTTCAAGGCACGCTACGTGGCTAGAGGGTTCAGTCAGCGCGAGGGGGTTGACTTCTTTCAGACCTTCGCGCCCACCCCGAAGATGACCACTCTTCGGGTGTTACTGCACGTAGCAGCGCAGAGAGACTACGAGCTACACTCTCTTGACTTCTCCACTGCCTTCCTCCAGGGCTGCTTACACGAGGAGATCTGGCTGCGTCGTCCTCCGGGCTTCACTGGCACTTTCCCGCCTGGGACCCAGTGGAGCCTCAGACGACCGGTCTACGGTCTCCGCCAGGCACCCCGTGGGTGGCACGACACTCTCCGCTCTACTCTCTCCGACCTCGGGTTTGAGCCGTCTTCCGCCGACCCGTCGCTGTTTGTTCGTCATGGCCGTACACCTTTCTTTGTCCTAGTCTACGTTGACGACTTGGTTTTTGCCACGGCCGACACAGCTGCACTGGCGAAGGTGAAGTCCGAACTGCAGAAGAGACACACCTGCACTGACCTTGGGGAAATGCGCTGCTACCTTGGCCTGCAGATCTCCAGGGACAGAGCCGCTCGCACCATCACTCTCACTCAGTCACACATGGTGCAGCAGGTTCTTCAGCGGTTCGGGCTTCAGGACTCTTCTCCTGCCCCCACTCCTCTTGCTGTAGACCACAGACTCACTGAGCCTTTTCCTGACGAGCCGTTCGAGCCCAGTGGTCCCTACGCAGAGCTGGTGGGCTGCCTCATGTACCTGATGACGTGCACTCGCCCGGACCTCGCCTTCCCCCTTAGCATCCTGTCTTGCTTTGTTGCGACTGGGAGACACCGTCCTGTTCACTGGGCGGCGGCTAAGAGGGTGGCGAAGTACCTTGGCGCGACATCAGGCATGGGGCTTGTACTTGGAGGGACACAACCAGTTGTACTCACCGGTCACTGTGACTCTTCCTACGCTGACGACGTTGAGACTCAGAGGTCTACGCAGGGTTACTGTTTCAGCCTGGGTTCTGGAGCTATTTCGTGGAGGTCTACTCGGTCCTCCTCTGTTGCGACTTCTACCGCAGAGGCCGAGATCTACGCTGGGGCCCTTGCTGCTCAGGAGCTACGCTGGTTGACCTTTTTGCTCACTGACCTTGGTGAGCGGCCGAGCTCTGCACCGACCCTGTTTGCGGACAACAGGGCGATGATTCTCCTGTGTCGTGAGCCTCGACTGGAGAGCCGAGTGAAGCACATCGACGTCAGGTACTTCCTCCTTCGAGAGTTGCAGAGACGTGGACAGGCTCGTCTGGACTTTGTGGCCTCCGAGGCCAACACTGCAGACATCTTCACCAAGGCCCTCCAGCCTTGTGACCACCGTCGGTTTTGTCTGCAGTTAGGCCTCGTTGAGACTGGGTCTAGTTGACTGCTGTAGGGTGCTCTTTGTCTGTTGCTTGCTTGTACCTTATATATATATATATATATATTTGTTTGCACACTTTTGGACTGGCCTTGTGGCCCTTTGCTTGTGCTCAGATTAGGTGGTGATGTTGTGATCCACCCTGAGCTTTGTTTTTCTTTCTCTTGTTTTTTACTGGTCTTGTGACCGTAGGTTGCTTGTTGTTGATTGGCCTTCCCCACTTAGGCTATTAGGGTGTGTCAAATATTATAGCCTGTAGTGGGTTGGGCTATATGGGGTACAACTAGTTATGGTTAGGTGATGTACCCCAATCCTGTCAACACAATGCATTCCGCTGTAGTTCTCATTCTGACACTCCCGTCGCGGCTCCTTCGGGGGAAAGGGGGGGGGGGGGGGGGGGGGGGCGGTGCCGTAGGTAGGGCGACGGAGCCGGGCCGTAGGTAGGGCGACGGGACGACGGGGCCGCAGGTAGGGCGGCGGGGCCGGGGCCAGGGCCGCAGGTAGGGTCGCCCGAGCCGCGCGCAGGCGGCCCGAGCCGCGCGCGGGGCTGGCGCCGCCCGTATGGGTCGCGCGTGTTGGGAACAATAAGTCTTAAAGCGCCTCTATCGTGTCGAAACTCAGGACACAAGCGAAGCAGTCCAAATCGAAGCATCGCGAGTCAACCCTCGGAGGTTAGGGTAACCGCCTGGAGGTTACGCGAAGATCAAAAGTCAGCGACCTTTGACTTGACAAATACAGCGCGGCAGCAAGGACACACAACTGACTCGACATTGAGCAGTTGCCCGAGTCGCACTGTATCGAATCGCAACAGCAAAACAGTTTAATTATATCTATTCGTATTCCTTGTACTCTTATATAAAGCCTTGTATTTGCTTGTTTTAATCAACTTACTTTGCCCTCACATACTAGCGCAAGGTGGTTCAAGGACTTTATTCAAACGCTTCCGCTACTACATCGTTTACTCAAACTTTAACTCTACCAAAAGATCCTAGGGCGTCTCAGCCCAACATGGTATGAGAGCAGGCTAGAGTTAATATTTTCTCTTCAACACTTAATACATCAAGAAGACATGTCTACTAGAAAGGAGAGGAGCTCCTCCGACGGCTCTCCCGGTACTACCCCTACTCCACCTCCTTCATCTGGCCTACTGACAGAGGAAGGGACAACAACTAGACCAGCAGCTGGGTCTACGGAAACACCCGCAAACCAAGGCGCGGGCTTCGATCCAAGTATGATGGAGAAATTCTTCTCCTTCATGTCCTTCTACGAGCAGCACCAGCAAGGAGTACCTGCGCAGTCAAACAACAGCAACAACAACAACGTAACTCCTATGAGTCTCGACGGCTCATCCTACGCACGCGGAATTCAACAACAACAACATCAGCCTACTTTTGCGCCGTACGAGCCCCAGCGTGGCTCCGTCAGCTTCATGCCGCAACCGCAATCT